TTTTTTTTTAATTTTAAACATAAAGATTTAATTTCTGCGAGGTAAGAGAAAATGTTTGAGGCATATCTAATAAGCTTTATTTGGTTTTGAGTTGACACAAAGTATCTTATAATTTAGTTTTACGATCTTTTTGTTCAAAAACAAGGATTTTTGTAAATTGTTGTTTTAAAAATAGATCGCATCATCACTGACTTCGGGTTATGGAGGGAAAAGTTTTATAATAAAATATAATAACAAGGGGTTCATTGGGAATTTATAATCTGATACAAAATTTTGTAAGGCATTTCACTGATATAGTTAAATATCAGTTATTGACAAGAGAAATGAAAATTTTGAGGAATAGTAGAAAATTCCCATAAAGTGTCTGCCTGATAAAACATTAACGAAATGTTTATAACTTTCTAAGTGAGCTAAACGTGAGTAATTACTTTACTTTGAAATAAAACAATTTGTAAATCAAATTCCAAAGGAACAGGGAATTAATTTTTTTAAGGGAAAAGGTTTTCAAACACAAGCTTGCATCTCATGTTTCAAAGGAAGCTAGAATATAAAAGAAGGAGAATCATATAATTTCAAATGAAATCTTGTTCTTCTGTTTTAGTGCCATTGGATTATTCAAGATAAGTTTCTCAGAGATAATGTATATCTTGATGTGGGCTTCACAATTTCTTAGTTGTGTTATTGTCGCATAATTGTAATTAGGTACTAGTATGAGCCTTCCGGAGGTATTGTGAACAATTAAGAATGATTAATGTAGAGAATTATCAAACTAGAAGATATGGGTGGCTTTCTGATGATGGTAAAACGGATGTAGTTTAGTGCGGCATCTATTAAGCTGGGATTTTTATAAGATAGAATTAATGTGCATAGATTAGCCCTGAAAAATATACGAAATTTTCTCTTTGTCTGGAAATTTCTTTTCTCTTCAAGATGCGAAAATGAAAGGCGGGCGACACTTCATTACTTCTAGACTCTATTCCTCAGGGGTTTCTTTCGAATATACGTATCAGATCCCTAAGTATTCGTCTCAGACTCAGCCATACTCACGTTGAACAAATGAGCATTAAAGCAGTTGAAATTTAATTAAATTGGGGTCGAAGGCATGCTCTTATACAAGATTGTTTCATATGTTTATTTATTTTAAAAATAAAAAATGTTGATTTGTATAAGATATTTCTCAATGTGTAAGTGATTCCAGGGAAGTCCAGTTAGTTGTTTTACAATGGTGGGATTTGAATCTTCATTTTCTCAGGAAGGCGGTGACAACAGGGAAAACGCGATTTTCCTATTGAGGTACAAAAGGTTGGTACTAATTTTATTTGACTTAGTTTGGCGGCCTTTTGGGACCGTTAATGTTCTTTGGGTTTCACAGAAGAAGACATTCAAAAAGATTTCTGTTTATAGCAGATCGGGATAGCCTTGTTATAACTACATATTTTTAGTTCGCAAGTGTGAGTTCAGCAGTAAAATCTACCCGTCTGGAAGAAATTGTCCATAATTCGCAACAACTTCCGGGGAGCTAGTTTTATTAACAGCTAAAAATATGTAAGAAAAGTTGTCCAGATTACTAGCCAATTGGCGGCAGATACGAGGGCCAGCGGAAAAGGACGGAACAGTCGGCGAAAAAGGGACCACGCGGAAAAGGGCAGCGGAAAAGGGCCACGGAATAGGGGCCACGACACGAGAGCGGGAAAAGGGCCAGGGAAGAAGGCAGCGGAAAAGGGCGCAGCGAAGGACCAGGAAGGGCCAGCGGAAGCGGCATGCGGAAAAGGGGCCAGCGGAACAAGGGCCGCGGAAACAGGGCCGCAGCGGAAAAGCGCAGCGGAAAAGGGCCAGCGGAAAGGCCAGCGGAAAAGGGCCAGCGGAAAGGGCCATGCCGGGAAATAGGTGCGCGGAAAAGGGCAGCGGGAAGTGGGCACCGGAAAAGACGGCCACAGCGGAAAGAAGGGCCGACGCTGTCCTGCCGGGAAAAGGGCAGCGGAAAAGGGCTAGCGGAAAAGGGCCAGCGGAAGGGCCAGCGGAAAAGTTGGCCACGGCAAAAGGGCCAGCGGAAAGGGCCAGCGGAAAAGGGCAGCGGAAATAGGGCAGCGCCCCCGGGAAAAACGGGGCCGCAGCCCGGAAAAAGGGCCAGCGGAAGGGCCAGGGAAAAGGGCTAGCGGAAAAGGGCCAGCGGAAAGGGCAGCGAAAAGGGCCAGCGGAAAAGGGCCAGCGGAAAAAGGGTCCAGCGTGAGAAGAAGGGCCAGAGGCCGCGAAAAAGGCGGCGCAAGGGCAGCGAAAAGGGCAGACACAGGGAAAAGGGCAGCGAAAGAGGGCAGAAACAGGCCTCCTAATCAAAGCTTTATTCCGACAGGATACACAGCGTGCCTGGAGCGCTCTGCCCGGCACAAATAGTCTTGTACGGTGTGACGCATAGGTGGCGAACAATCACGTGCTCGAATGGGGCAGTGGTTCGTCCTGGGCAATGAATGTTTGCTTTAACTTTAGTCTTGTCACGCAAAGTACCAGTAGTCTTGTTTCACACGCATCAAGGTGGCTTGAAAGCGGTGTTAGTGTAATTGTTCCCAAATAGCCATATCGGGAGAAGATGAAAGGTAGCTTGGATTTGGGATGAAAAATTCCTTATAATAAAAATAATGTGTTCTTTTTATAACGGATTATTACACAGGTATGGCCATTAAACCTTTAATTTATATAGCGTCAGCACATTCAAATTCTGTAGGAATTTGCTGTTTGGTATTGACGTCAATGGAATTCAGCATGATCTCCCAAAAAAACCGACAAGTACTTTCGGGTATTAGAGGCGGCATGTATTGGATTCGATTGGTAACTCTTTTGTTGTTGTCAATCTAAAACTCAAATTATCTGTGTGTCATTTCAACTATGATAGGACAGATGCTATTTAAATAACAGCCACTTTTTGGTAGAGAAATTTATGTGTTACTTTGCAAATACCCGTCGGTCGCGGCGGTCTTGTTTGTGCCCGAGTTCGTTGTGCACGGGGGGAACGGGGATGTACAAGCAGAACAGCTTAGCTGCTCCGATGTATCGCTTTAATGGGGAGCACGCAGCGAGTCCTCGATGAGAGACAAGAGCGCCTCAGACTTCTTGGCAACGGGTTTCCTCGGCCGCATACGCTCAAGCGTTTTTGTTGTATGATTTAACGACGGCCGGTTGGTAGTGCAATGTATTTCTGCGAAGGAAGCGAAATTGTGCAGGAAGTTTCTTAACTCTGGA